GTACACAGTTAAAGCCACCGTTTGCGACCCAAGTCAGTCTCTTCTGTTTTCTGCTCCGCTGTTTCTCCCCTTGGAAAACAGTGCTTTTTTTGCATAATTAATGTTCAATAGCCGTTGAAGCTGAACAGTTCTACAAGACAAGTTTATCCCGCCCACGTGTTATTCACCGTACTTACCTTCCTAACTTTCTTTTGCGCCACTCTACCTAAATGCAATTAAATTGGTGCATTTTTTAAATCTTGGGGTGGACCACGAGAAAGCGTTGAGTTTTGATCTTCAGTCCCCGCAAAAAAGCAGGAACTTCCATGTGTGACAGAGAATGAGAGATGAGCGGACAACGGAAGGTGGTGTGCGTCACCGGAGCATCGGGATTCATAGCATCATGGCTTGTAAAGCTTCTGCTGGAACGTGGATACAATGTAAAAGCCGCCGTTCGCAATCCAAGTCAGTACTAGTACTACTACTTCTTTATGCACAACCCTTTTCTGATACCCTTTACGGGTTAAGAGTTTAAGATTTCAAATTGAATCTCAAGATAGAGCCTTGGGTTGAGTTGAGTGGGAGGAATTTATTAACAGTAGAGGTTTATCCTTCTTGTATACCTATTATTATCATATTTATAAAAATAAAATAAAAAAACCTTTTTCTGATTTCTGGGTTTGGTAAATCTAGCTTTTCTCTTAATGAAATATGATTCCAAAATGAAAATTTTTTGGCTCCAGATCCAAAGTGGAAAGATGGAATTTACCCAAGAGATGCTAACAAGCTATGAGTAAAAGGAAATCCATAATTTTGTTTGAATGTGTAACAGATGATCCGAAGAAAACAGAACACTTACTTGCACTTGATGGAGCTAAAGAAAGACTTCATTTATTCACAGCAGAGTTAGTGGATGAAGGATGTTTTGACTCCATAGTGGATGGGTGTGATGGTGTTTTTCACACAGCATCCCCTGTGTTTTTTTCAGCTGCTGATCCCAAGGTTGCCCCCAATATTTTGCTTATTCATTATTTTTGTCTATATGTAAATACTCTCTTCCTTTACTGGAAGAAGTAGTTTAGTTTTTACTATAGTAGTATGATAAAAGCTGCACCGTGTAATGCAGTGAAGACTTGTCTGTTCATTTCTATTTGCTGCATAATTTGCTGGATTCAATTCCTCTTTACCTTTGTTTCAGGCCGAATTGATTGATCCTGCAGTGAAGGGAACTCTTAATGTTCTTAAATCATGTGCAAAAGCTCCTTCAATCAAGAGAGTAGTCATGACATCTTCAACAGCCACAGTTGCATTCAATGGAATGCCATTGACTCCGGATGTGGTGATTGATGAGACTTGGTTTTCTGATCCAGATTTCTTGGAGAAATCTAAGGTATGTACTCTGATTATGACTCTCTTCCATCATTCTTCCTCTTGATTAAGTAAGCTATCCTAGTGTTTATGCTTTAGTTCTCTTGTATATCAAATTCAAGATCAGTTTTGAGTACAGTAGTGGCTGAGTATTGATTCTGTATATTCTTGGGGGGTTTTTCAGCTCTGGTATATGCTCTCCAAAACATTAGCTGAGGAGGCTGCTATGAAGTTTGCAAAAGAAAATGGGATTGATCTGGTTACAATAAATCCAGCAGTTGTCATAGGTCCGATTTTACAGCCAACTCTTAATTTGACCGCGGAGATGATATTGAACATCATAATTGGTATGCTTCCTAATCTCTAGATAATAATGTAATAAAATTTCTTTCCCCTTGATTTTCAAAAGTCATGATGCATCCTCATCATATATTTGATTACTCAAAATAAAGTTAGAGATGACATGTCCTTGCTCTTTTCTCTGCTTCAAACAATTGTTGTTTGTTATCTGTGATTAAAGAAGCAAAAAACCTCTGCTTGCTATATCATGAAATGTGATATTGATCTGTGGAAGGTTTTTAAATTTCCAAGTAACAAAGCGGAGGTAATTATCTATACTTCCTCTTATTACCGTCCAATTTTTCATTTTAGCCTTGGTTTACCTTCTTGAATATATATGAAGGTTTCTGCGGAAATTACCCACAATGTCTGTGAGACACATAGTTTTTCTGGTAATTTGACTCTATGCTTATGCACAAGCTTAAGACAGAGTTTATGAAGTCCAACAGACACGTTTAGATCAGTCTACTTTCACAAATCAGGCAAACCAATTTTCAGCCTAAGGCTTGGGAATGCACAATCTAGGAAATAGATGTCTAAAATCTCTTTGTTTCATCAAATTCAGTTTATGCTGAAAGTCTATTTTACCTATTTCTTGAGTTTATTGAAAGTGTCCATCCACGTATCAGAGGCAAAGGTTAGATTTTATTTTATTTTTCTGGTAAGAAGAAGCAAAGGTTAGACATCAAGTATTTCTGTGATACATATAGATGTCATCTTTTGGATGCAGGACGTGAACTCCCCTCATTTTTTAGATTTGTTGATGTTCGAGATGTTGCATATGCACATATTCAAGCGTTTGAGATTCCATCAGCTACTGGCAGATATTGCATGGTTGAAAGAACTGCAGACATTTCTGAGGTGGTGAAGATCTTACACGAACTATACCCTAATTTCCACCTGAATGAAAAGTAAGTTATCTCTAGATAGTGTATGTAATTTCATAATCTAACTGAAGAATTCTAAAGTAGATAATCCAATGCATGGAAGTCTCAAATCTTCTTTTCAATCAATGACAGATATGAAATTAATCCTATTATGTTACTACACCTGGTATCCAAGGAGAAAACAAAGAGCTTGGGTGTCAACTTCATTCCTTTAGAGGTGAGTTTGAAGGACACTGTTGAAAGTTTCAAGGAAAAGGGTTTGCTTAGTGCCTAAAGTTTTAATTTTTTTTTTCTTTCATTGTTTGGGACTTTTCATGGTTTCTTAATCCTTTCCCGTTTATTCTATGTTGTTTCAAACAAGTCTGTATTGACTTTTAAATGTATGTAACTGAATTCTCTTCATCTTTCTCACTTTGTTGGAGTACTTGACATTCTCTTTTGTATGATGAGCAACATTGCCATGGGACTACATTTGCAATTTTTAGTTTTAAAGAAGAGAAATCTGTTAAAACATTTCCTTTGCAAATTTCTCTTCTTCGTTGGACGAGGGTTATATATCACATATTTAAATGCTTCATATATTGGACCAGGGGATATCTGACTCTGATACATTGTAGTTCATAATTCATATATTCAACATTTCCCTTGCAACTTTCTCTTCTTTGTAATAGGATCATATGTTTTGATAGAAATCATCTCATCGCTGACCATTAGGTCTGCTCTTTAGCCCAGTTGGTTAGATGGGTTCATCTCCAGCACACTGAGCTCTAAACAATTTTTATCTGTTCAAAAGTCCACATCAACCTCCTTCCAGATAAATATAAACATTTTAAAATAGAATATCTTATTTCAAACAAAAAAAAAAATACTGAACCTTTTTTTTTTTTTTTGAACATATTTGCAAGGGGTGAGTTTCGAACCCAGTCTGGGGAGGGAGAAATGCATCGGGGTGGTTATTGTCACTAGACCGCAAGGTTCAGGTGCAAATAATGAACCATTTAAATTATTGTTAACTTTGTTTTTTCATTTGTTTATTTCAGATCGGTAACATTTTTTACAATCTGGACATAAAACATCAATCTCACCTACAAAGACTCCCAGAAAAATAAAAATAAAATGAAATTCACTGTTAAACCAAAAAAATGTTCTCAGTTTATGTCTCATTTTTCCGCTTGCGATATAATTGCTTTCGATCCCATTGCCTGTTTAAAAAAAAAAAAATTATTAATCTGTATATTAATAATCATATTAAATTTTAATTAATTTAAAATTTAATTATATTAAATTTTATTTTAAAAAAATTAATATTTATTTTTTATTCATAAAATTTATATTTAAAAAATTTTATTTAAAACGAACTGAAACTTTTTAGGCAGATTAACGGATTAATAAGTTGTTGGTTAAAAAAAAAATAATTGTTTTCAATCATATCTATTATAAATAAAACAAATTATTATTAAAAAATTAAAAACGAAGAACCTTGTCTCCTCGTCATTTGTCGTTGACCATCCTGCCGACTGGTTCCTTGTTTATCGTCGCCGAATTTCTGGCGAATACGGTTGAAGATTTTGATTCCGAACTACTCCAAAGATAAAAATGGCGAATCCGTTCTTCTATGTGTTCTTGATTTTGATTATCATGCAAGTTCCAAGCTCTTCATCAAAAACAGAAGCGATAGAAGCAATCCTCAACCGCTTAGATTCCAAGCGGTTGCCTTCATCAGTTCAAGAATCAGCAGCTAAATCCGTTCTGAAAAGGTTGCTTCCTACTCATGTAGACAGTTTCGAGTTCAAGATTATCTCCAAGGTACCATCATATATAAGAAATCTTCAGTTCTTGCCTGACGATGTAGTCTTGTAGCTTCATCTGTGTGTATTTCTGTTACTGTTGATCGTTTATTTGAAATTGCGTTCATGAAGATTGGTGCTTAGCGTTTTTGGCTTCTAAACATCAGGATGCTTGTGGTGGAAGAGGTTGCTTTTTGATAGAAAATTACAACAGCTCAAGCCAGGATGGACCTGAGATAATGTATGTTGAATTTGACTCTCCATGATGTTATGAATTTATGATTATATATTTATTGACTGTTTGTAACTTGTTGGACATGATTGACGACTTAAAAACTTCTATTTTTGGAGTTTTCTGGTTTTCTATCATCAATTTTGAGCATCAAAACAAGTTCATTTATTTTTAAATTTAGCTTTTTTAAATTCCTGGAGTGGATGTTTAATGGAATCATATTGTTCATAGTAAGGTTATTGCCAAAAAAAAAAGAAAAGGATAGCAAAGTTAAGGTATGGAACAGTTTTATCTATTTTCTATTTTGTTTCAGGTTAGATGATTGCCAATGTTTTTCTGTTTCAGGATTAAAGGCACTACTGCTGTTGAAATTGCATCTGGGCTCCATTGGTATATTAAATATTGGTGTGGTGCTCATGTTTCTTGGGACAAGACTGGTGGCATTCAGATAGCATCTATCCCCAAGCCAGGATCATTGCCTCTCATAAAAGATGGAGGAGTGATGATTCGGCGGCCAGTCCCATGGAGCTATTACCAAAATGTTGTCACATATAGTTGTAAGTAGGGAAGCTTTTATCCTGTCTTCAATATTATAATTCAGTGGTTTTAAGCTAGCTTCACATGGTTTGAAGAACTAAAATTAATAAAGTTTAAGGTTTTTATACTGTCAGTATAAGTACCGTCTCTTATGGTGGTACGTGTTGTATTTATTTTTTGTATGTAATATGCACATTCTTCATTGCAGATTCCTATGTTTGGTGGGACTGGGAAAAATGGGAGAAAGAAATAGACTGGATGGCTCTTCAAGGGATCAACCTGCCCTTGGCATTTACAGCACAGGAGACCATTTGGCAAAAAGTTTTTATGGTGATGGTTTTTATTGAATTGAGTGATCTTGATGTCTTCTAACTGTTCCAGAAGGAAGGTCTGTGACAGCATATTTTCACCATTTGACTGGTGGCTTATGATTCTAGGATTTTAATATCAACAAAGAAGAGTTGAAGGATTTCTTTGGCGGTCCTGCTTTCCTTGCTTGGGCTCGAATGGGAAATCTACATGGGTGGGTAAATTGAACTGTAATCCTCTTGTGCTTGTTCCTCAACTATATCAACTGTGAAGAAATGTAGGAGTCAGTCACTACTTCTGCATTACATATTTTTTCTGTTTCCATTTTTTTTTGGTTAGATGTTGGATTACTCAATGAGTAATGTAAATAATTGTGTGTTCTTGAGCCTAATATTTATCTCATCACAGATGGGGTGGGCCTTTGTCTGAAAACTGGTTGGAACAGCAATTGACTTTGCAGAAAAAGATAGTGTTTCGGATGCTAGAATTAGGCATGACTCCAGGTATAGTTAAGTTCCATGCAATTGACTTCTATATTTTCAATCTAGAGCCACTTCATGAATGATTAAGATGTCATTCACTGGAAAAAGAAAATGTTTTAGGCAGCACTTCTTGCATGGTGTGATTTTTACTCTGCATTCTGGCTGATAATATGTTTTTTTGTTCATCTTTTCTAGTGCTTCCATCATTCTCTGGGAATGTTCCAGCGGCTTTGAAGAAAATTTTTCCTTCAGCAAATATAACTAGACTGGGGGATTGGTACTTCATATTTCCTGTATATTAACATATTTTATGACAGTATTTCATATAAGATTCAAATGGCATGGACCATGAATTATTTTTTCAATTACTGCACACCTTAGATCATGCATTTAAAGAATATAAAAAAATGCATTGCTAGGACCAATATTTGGATATGAGGGGTATTTCCTTACTGGTTTGAAGTTCCGTTTATACACTGAAGTTGCTACTATGCTCTGTAATTTAGGGCAGAGGTTTAAGATTCTGTTCATTACTGGTTACTCCTTTCAGGAACACTGTGAATGGTGATCCACGTTGGTGCTGCACTTATCTTCTCAATCCTTCAGATCCTTTATTTATTGAGATTGGGGAGGCCTTTATTAGGAAACAAATTGAAGGTCTGATATTTGTGAATTATTTACATGAATTGACCTCCATATTGTTTAGTTACTAATATGGATGAAGTTTTGCATGTTATAATAGACTCTTTACCTTCTCCCTCTGCTTATATTTTCCCACATCATAGTCTTAGCTTAAAGTAGCAAACCATTTATGATACGTTGCAAGTATACGCATATCATCAAAATGAACATGCTAACTCTTTTCCCTTTGTTACTTGTGTTGGATTTGGAATTATATCCATTCTACTTCAGAATATGGGGATGTGACGGACATTTATAACTGGTAATTGTCCTACTTCTGTGTTACTATTTTCATCTCGCTAACTTCAAGTGTAGTTCTTATAATTCTTCTGATGTTTAAAATATTGTTCCTGGTATTTCATGGTTTTGAAATCCATTACACTGTGAAACACAATATTTATCATGCTTGCTTGCACAATGGTGCAATTCTGCTCTCTGGAAAGAGGAAAGTGGATATGATCACTTCTCAAAGATGAAACACATGACAAATGTTAAAATTAGTGTACTTGATTTGCAAAATCATTTTCAACTGCCATGCTTTTACAGCAGTAAAAATGCCATAATTGATGGTGGACCTGTACCATGCTTGTAATATGAACTGAAGACATTTTATTCATGCAGTGACACATTTAATGAAAATTCCCCACCCACAAGTGATCCAACTTTTATCTCATCACTTGGTACTGCTATCTATAAAGCAATGTCCAAAGGAGACAAGGATGCTGTGTGGTTAATGCAAGTATGCTTTTTACTCCTCCATCTCCTTTTTCCATTTCTTATTTTCTCTCTTTCCTGGAGAACTTGTCTTATCAGAATTATTTTGGTAGAATGTTAGAAGGAAAGAAAAATGTAAGTGGTGTGAGGAAAGAATTCTCTGTTTTCCTTGCATACTTCTTTTGTCATACCACCAGATTCATCCTCCATCATAATTATGTCAGTAAAAATGTGATATTTCTTTCTTTACCCCCAGTCCCCATATTGTTTTCTTTCTTTCCCATTACTCATAGAACTGTTTCTAGTTGACAATTCTAAAATGTGCAGGGCTGGCTTTTCTACTCGGACTCAACTTTCTGGAAGCCACCACAAATGAAAGTATGAACATTAGCATGTTGGGTTACATACTTACATTATATGTAGATATGAAAGTGGATTTAAAAACTTTTTTCCTTTGATATTCAAAAAGTCAGAAGCACAATTCTACAAAATCCTAGAGTGGTAATCATATGTCCAATAATGAATGCACTAAAATCAGTGCAGTAAATGGTGCATTGATATTTTTGATATTGGTGGAAGGTTATTAACCAAGCTTTCCTGGAGAAGAATCAAAATATTAAGTAATTGTGATCGTAAATCAATAGAAGATTTTGATTAGCAAAGCTTGTGGAAAGACTGGATTAACAAGTGTTGTTTCTTGAAAATTTTTGAACTCAATTTTTGCTGTGCAATTGCTCAGGTACTTGTGCTTTTTTTGAGCTCGCTACTGTTCAGAAGTTTTGTTGATTATGTTAAATCTGTTGGTATCTACAGGCACTCTTGCATTCTGTTCCATTTGGGAAAATGATAGTTCTTGATTTATTTGCTGAAGCCAAACCAATATGGAAAAATTCCTCTCAATTTTATGGCACTCCTTATGTCTGGTAATTACCCTGTTAGATTCCACTCCAGCACCTGCAGCCTAATGACACTTGTTAGTATTTAGCAAGATATTTAGTTTTCAAATACTTGTAATTAACTTATTTGTTATCTCTTTGGCCAAAAGCCTAAACCTCTGTCAGTTATCTTCCTCTTTTTCCCATGTTTTATTGAACATGAGTTTTTCCAAAAAAATACATTCACCCTTGAATTATTTTCACCATATATCAGGTGTATGTTGCATAATTTTGGGGGAAATATTGAAATGTATGGCATATTGGATGCGATTTCTTCAGGACCAGTTGATGCCCGTGTTAGTGAAAATTCTACCATGGTATGATGAAAGTTCTTTTGCATGTCTCCCTTTAATTATTTGTTCTGAAATTCAAATAGAATTTTTTTTGTATGTAAACCTTTTAAGCATCCAGTGCAGAAGGAAAATATTTCTTTAGAGGTTGCAACATTAGGGTAAAATTAAAGAGTAGAATTACTTGAGTGGTTCATATATGTCATGGCAATTTTACCCTATGCTTTTTAAAATTACCCCATGAACTTCAAAAAGGTTAGTGGAATTTGAATTTTTTGTAATGGAAGAGGAATTTGATATTTAATCAATTAGGTTTTGGTGTATCTATCTTACTTTGATTAATCATTTTCTGTCATTAAACTCAGAGATAATGTCTCCTGTAGGTTGGTGTTGGCATGTGCATGGAAGGAATAGAACAAAATCCAGTTGTTTATGAGTTGATGTCTGAGATGGCATTTCGTAATGAGAAAGTCCAAGTTCTGGTAATTGTAGTATTTTAACTTTATTTCAATACTTTCTTTTCCTTATTCTTGTTTGGATAAAGCCTGTTATAAGCAAAAATGATATCTGAAAAAACCTTGAATTTTTCATATTGTGACTATACTTCTCTCTCTAGAATCTGATTATCTGAAGATGCATGCAGTTTGAAGTAAATGTACAATTTTAATGCCTTTGCAGGAATGGCTGAAGTCCTACACCCATAGACGCTATGGCAAAGCAATTCGAGAAGTTGAAGAAGCATGGGAAATATTATATCACACAGTTTACAATTGTACAGATGGAATTGCGGTACATTTCTGGTTAAATGCAACATTTCTATGCCATGTCACTTTCCTGCTGAAGGATTGTCCATACAGGAAATAGATCCAGTTATAGCAATTTCTTATGAGACTTACTCTCAACTAAAAAGTGGCTAATTCAACCTCTTCTCTTATTGCAGGACCATAACACAGATTTTATAGTTAAATTTCCAGATTGGGATCCATCACCATATTCTAAATCTGACATATCGAACCAAGACAATACAAATAAGCTGCCTACACTACCTGGAGGCAGAAGATTCTTGTTCCAAGAGATAAATCTGCCTCAGGAGGCCCATCTATGGTATTCTGCTGAGGAGGTGGTCAAGGGTTTAAAACTTTTCCTTGCAGCTGGAAATGATCTCGAAGGGAGCCTCACATATAGGTAAATACATTTTGCTTACTTCTTTCCAAATTCTGTCTTAAGTGCTAGAGACAACATTTGGGGAGCCCTTCTCCTACTGCTTCTTGTTTGTGTTATTTGCTTTGATAATAGCTTGTTTATCTAAATGTACCTTGTAATGTTTTCAATTGGTGGTATAATAGATAACATAATGCATCTGATTTTGTGGACAATCATTTCTCCTTGTTTAATGTCATTCTGACAGATATGACTTGGTTGACCTGACCCGGCAAGTACTCTCAAAACTGGCAAACCAAGTATACATAAATGCAGTGATTGCTTTCCTGCAGAAAGACCTTGAAGTTTTGACTGTTCGAAGTCAAAAGTTCGTTCAACTTATAGAGGATATAGATGTGCTTCTTGCTTCTGATGACAAGTTTCTGCTTGGAACATGGCTTGAAAGTGCAAAAAAGTTGGCATTGAGTCCTAGTGAGATGAGACAGGTGAGAACAGATATCTTGCATGACTTTTGTCTTATTTTCAAACCATGAGAAATTAACAGGGAATAAATAATAATAGGTCGATATGCTTCTTCATCAATTATAACTGATGTAACCCAAAGAACTCTCACTTTCTTTATGCATCGGCTACCCTATTCCTTGCTACTATTCTCTCCATTAACTTAAGCGCTACCACTACCCTTTAAGTCAGATCTAGTATCTATCAACTCTGATTGTATTAATCCAACATGAATATTTATAAATGCAGTAAGAATCTAGGCTGGATTAAGCTCTCAATCAATCATTTGAAGAATATATAGTCAGATTCAGCAGAGTATTGCTTTTCTATCTGGCTGTTCCATTACTAGAAGAGTCCTGAATTGTATTTTTATTTCTGTGACAGTATGAGTGGAATGCTAGAACGCAAGTTACAATGTGGTATGATACTACAGCAATCAATCAGAGCAAGCTTCATGATTATGGTAATGTTACTATTTAACATTTAGTGTGTGGGATGATAGAAGGCAAGTTACATTGATGCTTTTATCAGTGGTCTGATGTCAATCTTTCTTTGTCCTTGTTAGCAAACAAATTTTGGAGTGGACTATTAGTAAGCTATTATCTGCCACGAGCTTCAAGCTACTTCCGTTACTTGTCAAAGAGCCTAAAGGAAAATGAACCCTTTAGGTTGGAGGAATGGAGGAAAGAATGGATATCATTATCAGGCAAATGGCAATCAGGTAATGAGTCTTATCCAGTTAAAGCAAAAGGGGATTTCCTTGCAATTTCTAAAGCATTGTTCAAAAAATATTTTGGTTGACCATGCATTTGTTGTGGAATTCATGTTCTTTAGTAATGACATCAGAGGGTACAGATGCCAGATATATTATGCTGAAAACTTCCCTTTATTAGATAAATATTGGAGTGGACAATTAGAAGGCTACTATCTGCCATCTGATCTCTTCTCTATTAGTTCAATTCTTACCCAATAAAACAATAATTACACAACTGCTTAGAGGCTGCAAACCACTTTCTTCAAAATCCAACAACCAAGCACCCTCCAATGTTCAGCAATTGCATTATGAAGAGGGCTGCATCTACAGATTTTTGATCATTCGTGCATCTATTCCAATTTTCTTGAATGCCCTTCATTCTTGCAAACAGTGTTAGTGGTTCTGTCCAACTTTGGAATGGAATCCCCTTGACCATCTGTCTCATTGTTTTTATGATCATCGGTATCAGTCTTCATATCATCAAGAATGTTGTTAGAGAGAGGTCCATATAGTCATAAGATTGCTTCTGAAATGCCAAAATTGCCTTTACTCAAATATAATTGTGTGGGAATGTCACATTTTTGGAGACTGGAGACTGGCTCTGTCTGTTTCAAAGTTAATGATCCTGTGAATGCTAACAAAGGCTCTAGCAGGAACGTTTGATTCTCGTTCTTTCTTTCCTTCTTGATTTCTTCAAGTAATGCTTTACTTGTTTCGATACCTATAATGTTGATGACCAACATCAATAAGACCTCAAATTAAAATCAATTCAGTGCACTATTTTGCCACAATAAACATAGCTATCATATAATCTCACCTGCAAGGTATCCACCGTGCACGTAACCATTAAATCTTTCACTTGTGTGTTCACCAGTAAAGAAAATGCAACCAACTGGGGCCTGAACCAAAATACAATGGAGCAGGTAGAGTTAAATCATAATTGGCAGTGTTATCACAAGTTGCATTTTGAAATGATTTAATAATCCAAAGGGAAAGAATGGTTATTCAATAATGGCCTTCATTATACCATGACCTGCTTCTGTTTCCGGTCATGGATAGAGTTTAAGCTTGCATATTATGTAAGAACTAAAAGACCAAAACCAGAAAATGTAAAATTGTATTACGGATGAATTTCTAGTAAGCATAAAATGTTCCATTATAGATCAACTCAAAGCCTAAGGGTGGGGAATAATTAGCCTTTCTAGTGTCAAGTGTTGCGGGAAAGAAAAGTAGCCCATTCTATTCTTTCAATGGGAATTCTAAAGGGTGATCTAATTCATTTTTAATATCATACCTCTTAATTAATTTTAACAGAGAAATGAATCCTGAAACTTAGGATTTAGAATAAGAAAGGGATAGTAAAATTTGAAGTCTCATGTAAAATAATATGGATCAAGTACCTTCATATCCTGAACGACTTGGTCGTTAGAGATTATGGGGTAGTTGCTATAGCTGCCACGCTGGAACCTGTTGTTCCACCAGCGGGGAACAATTATGTCAATGGCATCAGGTATGTCCGGCCCAAACATGTCTCTAAGCACACCCATGGCTTCTTTCAGTGTCTCTGCATCGGGCTGAGCTTCCACACGTTTAGATTCCTCATTCGTCAACGTAACGACCAGGATATTGGAACCAGGATATGCATTCTCCATGTGCTGCTGACATAGAAACAGATCAGCAGCCAATAAGCATGAATTCAACGAGCAGTTCAACATTAAATTCGTGATCCCATCACTCTAGATACTTATTAAAGATTTGGTGATTCCCAAATCAATTATATTTGACTTGTCGTTAAGTGAAGAATCATCCTCGAAGATAAGATTAAAAAAAGATAGCGATTGGCTCCACACTATAGTTTCAGAGTTCAAGAAAGAAACTAAATGACAAATTTGTGGGTATCAAGACAACCTAAAAAGTCCATGCAAGTTCCATGTATATATGGATATGACTAAATTCAATTCTAAATGATATTGGCATTAACAACATGTCTACCCGGAAAGCTGAACAAGACGTGTAAAAGTACCAATTTGGTTTCACGTAAAAATTGCCTTAATATTCCATTAGGAATGGAACGACTAGGACCCAGTGAGATTCATGATTTTTATTTTCTATTTTAAACAAGTACAATTAAAATTAAAACCCAAACCTTGCATTGGGAGAGATTTTACTTTTTTCCAATTAAACTCAAAAGCTAGGAGCGGATTCATGATGTATTCTTGATCACTTAAACAATGGGAAAGAAAAAATATTGAATTTATTTCACCACAGTTAAGGCAAGAACAGAATTAGTCAATCATTTAGCTGGCAACAGTATTAAAATAAGAGGAGAAAAGGATTAAACTAACCTGCCAGAACGTGAAATAGCCTCTTCGCTCGTGGGCGTAAATGAAGAACTCTTTCTCAGGCCCATAAGGCCAGAACTTATACGGAAACTTGAGGAAAATCTTTGTGTACACCATGACATCACATTTCTCTATGGCCTCCTTTTTCCACCTCTGTTTTAACATTATTTTTTCTTTATCAAAACAATATTTAACCAAGAAAAGTACATTCATGAATGTGATTAGGGGAAACTCTGCATTGCTAAACTACCACACAGACAATGCCAAGAAATAATTGCATTGCATAGTGATTGACACAGAATATAATGTCACTTGTCTCAAGGAACTCCACCCAAGCACATCATCTAATTCAAGAATAACAAATTGTTCACGTTATCTAGCCGCAAGTCAAACACAATTAGACATGGCTATGATTGTAAGTTTCACGTGTTGACATAATAATTGAATTTTTTTATTAAATTAAAACCATATGGAAAAATATTTGTGACTATTATTCATATAATGTGTCAAAGTATAAATATGAACTGATGTAGTATCAAAACTGAAGATCATCATAACACCTTTTTTCCCTCTTTTTTTTTTTTTTTTTTTTAACACCTTTTTTCCCTCTTTTTTTTTTTTTTTTAAAACAGAAACAGTGAGATCCTTAGCAACCCATAGCCATAGGTACTAATTGTACTATATATTTTCTTTTATTATCGCTTGATATTCAAAAATTACTTTAAATTTTAATTAATTGAGAATCGATTTATATTAAATCTTATAAAAAATTAATATGCTTTTTTTATAATATTTAAATTTAAAATTTTATTTAAAAAAATTAAACTATTTTTATTCATATCAACATATCAATAAAATTAATAATACCATGATTTGAATAAAGACAACTCGAGATTATATATACCTTTCGTCACCCACCAGCAAACTCTATTTAATAGTAGTAAGCCACCCTTAATTCTGACTTTTAACCTTATGGATTATGATACTATTACATCGTGGGCCACTTCTAAAAGGGGAATCTAGTAAACAAATTGAAGACTCCTAACCTATCGGGACCCACTCTGAGGCTCCCCATCCTAATAAAATCCATTGACAATAAACAATGACTGTGAACGATTGTGATCTAGTATTACTTTTTTTGGTGTGGTTATGACTTTTAATAAAATTATTAAGATAATTAAAATTATATTAAA